CACAACAAAATTAAGATACATGATCGAGACGGAAAATGAACAATGCATGAAAAATCAAACAAATGTTACATAAAACAACACTTTCTGCCCACGTTACCTTCACTAAGTTGTTGTTCTCAGCTTCTTTCCATTTATTGCCTTTCAGTTGACGAAATTTAGCTGATTTAATGGTTTTACATTCCGTGCAACGTTTAATTTCAGACAATTTTTCTTCGAGCAAATCGTACTATGGAAAAGATATGATGATAACAAAGTGTAATAGTAAAGTTTCAATCAAATTTGTGTAATTATTTATACATGATTTATTGCAAGAATGGGCTACGTAATACCCTTGTAAAAGTAATTTAAACTGTATAAAAAAAATTGTGAAAATTCATTCCTTATATAGGACGGTCTCCTGTTCAAATGAGCTTGTGGGGGAAAACAAATGACGCACATTGATCGATGGCATTTTTTTGGAAAAAAAAAGTCAAAGATGAAGGATCATCATCCAATTAAATTATCGGAAAGAGAGTTGTTGAATTGAAAAGAATTTTGCTCGATCGATAAATACAAACAGTTTATATATCAATCAAAAAAATAACTAACTCACTTAAAGGGAAGAAGGATCACAATCAAAAATCACAATCGAAAAAAAATGACTAATTCATGAACAGAACAAAAACTTTGCAACGGCACATTCATTCATTGACCAAATGTGATTTTTATTACGCAACGACTGTATTTACTTAATAATCATACACTTTAGTACTAGCGTAATTTTTGTTTGTTGTATATATATAGATAGACTACTTTGTTTGCGACATAAACAAACAATTTATTTATTATTATTATTTTATTATTGTACGTTATTTTTAGTTATTATCGGTGATTGATTATTTTTATTTCTGGAGTTAGTTGATCAAAGGTTAAACCGCAGCAAACAAAAGAAAAGAAACCTCTCCAAAAAAAAAATAAAACCAAAAAGGTAAAAGGAAGGAAAAATCAATTTTTTTAACATCAGATGAACGAATAGTGAAAATAATTAGTAATTTGTAATAAATAATAATAATCATTAATTAACGATATGTATAACGTCAATCATTTCAAATCAAAGAAACGTCTCATTTTTTTCATCTCATGCTTCCCAAAAAATTGTGTTTAGTAAAAATTGATTTTTTTATCAGCTCAATGCTCGCTCGATCTGTTCGATCGATCGTTCGTTCGCTCATGTATAATGAGCACTCTTATTTCCCGTACCACTGTTTATTTACAAATATAGGCAAACAACAAATTTAATTTATTACATACAAAAAAAAACAAGCTTATAACTGGGAACGCAATGTGAGCTTTTCGCGTCACAAAACACATATACCGTGCTACGCGAGAATAAAATTCAATTAAGTTGGGTTTTGCGTCTTCTGTAAAAAAATAACATCACTCGGGCCAAGACAATAGTCTATTTTATTAAATTCGAAACATATAAATAGGACAGCCGTCCAAACTTTTTT